TAATGATGCTTTGATTGGCATTCGAGCCTATTGTTCAATTGTTCATGCTCGCATTGTCGATCATCTGTCTCAGCTTTGCGAGTACTGGTTCATTCGCAACGGTGTGCTGATTCTCGATGGGAAGTTGAATATGGCATTTTCCCCTGCGGAATTGTTGAAGTATATGAAGGAGTCACCAGTACTAGAGCAGAAGAGAGCTAATTTGCGTCGAAGCATTGAAGCGATGGAGAAAGCCTTGGCCGCAGCAAAAGCAGAATAAAGGATAATTTTTTTTCTTTGAAAAAATAAACTTTTAAAATTTTCGTCTGACTTTAAGGATATGAATAACGTTGTGGATGTGGGTGTGTTTAGATAAGAATAATTCCAAATATGATATGACGTGTTTCGACTAATGCTTACATAGTCATCATTAGGTATGTTCGGAATTAGAACTACATAAATATAATAGAGTAAAGTTATCCGAAAACCTATACATTGAAATAAACTATATGGGATGTGTGTGTAAAGAAAGAATACCTACAGTCCCATCCACACCCTCTTTCGTCACAAAGTATGTAAGAGTATGCTGTCATCAATATGAACAACACTCCAATACGAATGCATTTATTGATGACTTATAGTATCGGTTATTCGTGTATCATATTGCTGCTCATTTGCTCCTGGACAAGACTATCTTTTTTGTTAATACATGATTCGTTCACCTAATATACATTTGTTAAGTTTTGATTTTAATTTCATTCCTTTTCAAAGTATGAACTTTTATTTCTATTCATCCAGTAATGCTGCTGCATAACAGTTCAGAACTGTTCGCTGCGTGTCATTTTATTAGAACCTAGTAATAATGCATTTGTTGCATAAGTAGTACTCCTGATGTAATGATTAGTATGCATTATTTTTAGAGTCACTAGAACTGTGTTTAATTGTACACTAAATGGAGAAGAATTTTTGCTTTATTTTGAGATCAATACGTTGAAAGTCAAGAAATATTGTTTTTTCCATTTCTGAGATGTCTTAGAGTACTATAAATGAAACAGTATAGTAGAAAAGTTATTTGTAGTTGGATACAAATGTGAAACAATCAGTTGTTTTTAGATCATCGATATTTTGAAAAGTTTCTGTAATCATCAAATGCATGACATTTGTCAGTAGTCGACTCACTTTTTTCTACTCTAAAAGTAGTGAAATCTAACGCCGATTTGCATCGTTATCATATTATTTACATCTTGCAGCGATGTCTCGAACAAAATAAAATATACATTATGGTAAAACTAATTCGCATGAAGGATGAGAGTATTGCTAATATCCATCATGATCTATCGCATGGTCAAAAAATAATCATTTATGAATGTCGATAATGCCTTCTCATGTAAAAATCGATGAAAACAAAGATGTTACACTTTTAGTCGTAAAAAAAACGTTGAAAATATTTCGTAGAAATGTCAGACATTATTTTGCATTATTCGATTGTACACGGAGAAAAAGCATATGATAATTCATTAAAAATAGTTTTCTAATGGGTTTTCACACTAAAAAATGTGACATTTTTATTTCCTTAAATAGTTAAAATTTATCCATCTTTCCATGGGTTCTAATAATTAGATACCAGTAACATACTGCATAGTACGAGAGAAACACAAACTGTATGAATAAAAACATTATCAGCTATATCGAAATTCAACATTCCTATCGAAATCATGAAGCTCGAACTTCTCAAATAACTAAGGAGATTACTATCTCATTGCAGTATAACGTGATCAAACTTGACATGAATCTTGATTGTTCGTATGATGAAAAACAATAGTTGCATCGACAATTTTTCGGAAACTTTAAATTAACTGTTCTAGTTTGTTTGTTCAGCATCTCAAACCATTCGTTCAAGTTGAATACTACTAGATACATTCCAAAAGTATGAAAATACTTTTCTTGTATTTGTACATAGACATAAATAGCAATAAAACGATAAGACTAATGACGAAACTGGTAGTACATGAAGAACATACTGTGAAAGCCGGTATATTAGCACTGTTGACATCTTTTAAGAGAAAAGTATATGAATAATGAAAAAGTCGATCATCATCGTAGGTTCTTCTTGGGCCGTTCACCAACCTTAAGGACGACGCTTAACAGTGATTTCCGACACATAAATGAATATGCCTACAATATAATTTCTATAAGTAACATATCGTTCTACGGCCGAACATGTTGAATAGAATCGTGAGTAGTATTATTCAGTAGAGTATATCGAATTCCACTAGGTGCCAGTAGAAAAGAATTTTAGTCCGGTGGGAAGGGAAGCTATCTGAGATTGTCGAAAATGCTGTGTTTTTTACTTCTTTTTCAGTAATATTTTTCAAATATTTTAATATAAGCTCAATTATCTTCACAAAATGATAGCATTAGTCGATGGAGTCTTTTTTAATTCTGGTTAAAGTCAACGTCAACATATTTCAAGCCGATGCTGGGTTTGTTTTACTCTTATCACATCTATCTGATTCTAGAGGAACGAGAATTCAAACACTGTCGATAGTGATTATCATTTTATTCAAATTTACTAATTATCTGGCTAGAAAAATACTGAACTTCCCCAAGAGTCCTATCAATGTTTCAACACTGATCTGCATTTCAGTTAACAACAAACATACTATGTAATGGTTATGTGCATGCATTAGTAGAATGTCAATAGTGACAAAAAATGAAAAGACTTATTGAAGTCTATTATTGACACATACAGTTTACTTTCGAAAAAGAAAAGAAAAATATTTCTTACTTTCGATTTTTCTTTCATAGAACGAAGTTAATGTTGAAAAATTTTTTTTTCTTTAGCCTTTATGCTATAGCCAAGAGACCTAATTAAATCATTTGTGTAACTCGCATCATGAAAAAAAACTTTTATCGAAAGCAAATTTCGTTGCGAAGCTCTTGGTATATAACAGTTATGTAGATGTAGTACTAAAAATTTCAACTGAAAGAGAGCAAGAAAGATTAATTCAAGATTTTTACTTGCAGAACAAATTTACTTTCAAGAAGAAGTAAAAGTTTCTTATTTTAAAATTTGGTTTTCATAAACAAACACACGAAAGTAAATTTAGACAATTTTCTTTCTTGCCGATTGTATCTCTGTCAAGAAGACTATACTGTTCAAGCTATTGGAAATCAGAAACAAAAAGTGAAACTAAGTGAAATGGATTATTTTTTCTGAAAGAATGACATATTCAGAGTCACCATCACATTTTAAGTGCATTCAATCCCATTTTGTTTCGAACATTGCTTCCATCTTTAACTCTTTGGAAGATCTACGAACAGTCAACAATAACTTTTTTGAGAATCTTTTGAATCGTATGGATAATTCCATGGAGTCTCACCTAACCGATTCTGCGACTATCTCTGAATCCTTTAAAGCTTTTAGTACTTGTAGAACTTTTTCCGACGATCATTTTGGTGACACATGTTTTCCATTCAGACTCTATTTTTAAAAAGATATGAACCAAATATTATATATACATTTTTGTCTTGTTCCAATAAATAGAAGCCGCATTTTCTCAAAACATTGATGATAGTGTTTGATTATTGGCCCATATCATAAAACCAATAACAAAGTCAGATTCTTTGTGACAAACTGCACCAGATTTCTTATGAGTTTAAACATTTTCTACAGGGTCTATTGACTGACAATATAATTGACTTGAAATGAAAAGTATTTCAAAAGATGTCAATCAGAAAGTCGAAATAAACGAAAGTGCTGATATTATCAAGTCGATAGAGTAGAACTTCACAATATGCACTAACTATTTTTCTCCTGATCTGTAGTACTGTAAGGCACTAGTGCCAAAATCATTTTCGATCACAACCTTTTAGTCAGTTTTTCTCAGTATATTCGTGAAATCTGGTCATGTACTCGGAAAGCTACATCTAAGTTTATTGAAGCTTTCATCATTTGTAGAAGTTTGTGTGTTGATCATTTTGATATCGAACTGTTGAATATATGACTCTATTTTCGCCAACATATAAGTGGAATACTATAAACATATAGTTTTTTCATTTACGATTATTTCGCATGAAAAATGCGTTTATCTCTTAAAATGATGGTGATAACACGTGACTATTTGCTTGGATCTGCAACTTAATAACTCATTCGGACTGAACATGAAAACTACATTAAAGTCTATGCGAAATGTATGAACTATCCAACATCCATGTAATATAATTTGTATCATTTGAGACATATGCAAAGTAGGGTGTGTGGAAAAACATTTAGCATTGATTAAAAAGACAAATATATTACTTATAAAAGTTTGCAACTATGTTTTTTATGAAATGAGAGTTGGGAAGAAAACTAAGTGATCAGTTCATATTGTAGAGCTAATGCTGTCCTATCGAATCGTTCATGTCCTTATTTTAGATTATTTGACTTTTTTAATCCATTGTAAATATTTTTCATCGACTCTAATTTGCATGTATGTCTCAAATGATCAAAATTATAATACATGATGTTGAAGACTTCATAAATTTCGTATAGGCTTTGATGTAGTTTTTCATGTTCAGTTCGAATGCATCATTAGATTCTAGAGCTAAGCTAATAGTGAGCTGTTATCACTTTCATTTTGAGAGATAAACGCATTTTTAATGTGAAATAATCGTAAAAGAAAAAATATATGTTTATTGTATTTCACCTGTATCTTGGTGAAAATAGAGTCAAATATTCAACAAACCTCTACAAACACTAAAAGTTTTAAAAAATTCGGAGATAGTGGTAGCATTGGCTGACGAAGCCCTATGCATATATCCATATATCATCAAGTACAGAAATTTATCCTGATTCAAAATACATAACATATAATTTTTTTTGTTAGAAAAATAATCACGTCAAGTTCTTGTTGATTTCTTTCTATTATCTTTTTCTTAAAAAAAGACAATTGAAAATGTTATTCATGAGTACCCAAGTGTGTTTCTGCTGATGAGAATTTTATGCATATTTAGATTGAACAACGATTGTAACGATTATGACGATGAATAAAAATCGAACATCTGCCAACTCTATTCACAGTAGCTTATGGATGAGAGATCTGCATTCTGGTACAAAATCACCAAGAAGACATTACAATACTGGTAGGAATGATCATTTTTTGATTACAGTTTGCTCCAATCTTAAGAATAATTTCTAATCCCTTGTTTTAAAACTTTTTGGAAAGAGAATAGTCATACCTCTGATTAGTTTTATTTTAATTTAAACATTTTGTTTTTTTTTACAAAAAAGTGATAAACAAATCGTTTATCTTATCATCATCTTAGAACTGAATAAAATGTGTGAGAATAACGTAAGAAAGATCGTAAATATTTGATTTCTTCAGGTTTTGTTGTAACCAATGACTCTCGGCGATCAGTTTCAAGAGAAAATTTCTTGAAGCATGAATTTAGATTTGTACTTTTCGTATATTGTGTTTCAAAAATTAAAACTCACTGAATTTTGACATGTTTTGAAACTCTAATGTTAAAACGTATGTTTTAATTGAATTTAGGTCGACTACCTCAAACCTCATCAATACGAATAGCAGCAACGGACAATGAACAATGTCAAACACCTTTGAAGCTACAAGGTTGGCTGTATGTTCATCTCTATCGTGGTTTGAGTAACACTGCAGATTGATCTGTAAAACTTTTAAGGAAAGGTGATACAAATGAGGCAATAAAGTTTTGGGAAAGGGCACTTCTTTTCTTTGAAGAGTTGGACAAGCGTCAAAATATTTCAGATAAAAATGTATGGTATTTTGAAATATATTTATTTGTTAAACAATTTATTTATTTATTCAATTGACAGAGAGCTGAATTGAAACAATTGAAAGCCAAATACAAAGAGCATGAAGAACAAATCAATCAAATAAAATAGAGCAATCGAGTTGTAATACAAAAGAAAAATACGAAAGCATGGTTACTATAATCTTCAATTAACTTTTTCATTCTTTTTACATGTATAAAAAAACAAACGAACAAAATCGAAACTAACAATAAAGTAGTTTGAACAAAACACTGTTTTGATACTCTTGACTGAATTTTTCAATTGTTTTATGGAGTATTTTTATGTGCGAAACGTGCGACTAAAAGGCAATACAGTGATACAGGAAATGTTTTAAAATTCTATTTAAGAGAAAATGTCATAGTCAACTGAATTTATTTCGATTAATAATGAAATACATGAATAAGATATGACAGTGTATGACGTTTCGCTAAAGTATAACGGCAAGTGAGAAAATGTGCAAAATTTCAAATCTGAAAGTTTAAGATAAGAAAAGTAGATTTTCATAATAGTGTCTTCGACGAGACATGAAGAAATTTCCCAAATTGAACTTCTGAATGTTGTAGATCTGATCTTATATGTAATCCAGTAATATCATTTCCTGTTTTTTTTTGTTAGGTGTCTAATTCAAGACAATGCCGTATAAACTAATACTATAACAAAATAAATAATTGAGTATCTATTTAGTGCAATCGTAAAGTAACATCTTCCCATGCAATTCTTTTACCTTATCTTTCTTTTCGTACTAATAGCCTTCCACTGACTCCAACACGTGATTGTGGTGTTTGTCTACATTACGGAATACTTGATCAATAGGGTGGATATTATACTGATCGATGTCAACATCCCAGACGTACTGTATTTTATGAATGCATTTATAAATACTGACTACTGTGTTCAACTTTTTTATTTTTAGCTACTCTGAATGATTGGTGAAGTTTCAGTTACTTATTCAGAATTTTTTAAAAGGGTGTGAGGGCGTGGGTGTGGTTCAAGAGAACCATACACGCACACCTACGCTCACATCCACATCCACGCCCACATCCCACCCACATCTACACTCATACACACCTAATAGATGCTCATCTCTGGAAACAATCAGAAGCTTCACCAAATTATTGGTAATATTTTGGGAGCTCCACAATCCTGTAGATAGCATTCGGAGAATGACAAATTATTGTTCGTCTATTTAGGAGAATCGAATTTGCACGGTATTCAAAGAGAAAGATGTGATCTATGTGATATTAAGTTTGAAAACCCATAACAAATGCAAAACAACGAGTTTCTCACCAGTAGTGGGGAGGATCTGTAGAATTCTTGCCAACATAATTCAGAATTCAAAAGAGATCCTTGATAAACAATGGATCATCCACCACGCAGTCTAACCTCGCTTCAGTTCTATGTCGTCAGAATTCTGTAAAGAATTCAAAAAACATCAGCAGAATTCAAACAGAATCCTATGGACACCAGCAGAATACAAACACAATATAGGGCTTGCACCACATAGTCTCGGCTCAAGCGAGTATCAGTTCTCATACCATGGACAGAATTCTGTCAAGAATTCTGATGTAATTGTCAAATTCTTGACAGAGCTCTATTCTATATGAGGATATGGAATATTAAAACAGTTTGAACAAAATTCTATCGAGGTGTGAAAAAGCAGCAAAATTTTAACAGTAAGCGATACGCTTGAGACTTCAAACTTCACCACAGAAGCACAATGGAGCATATCTTTGATTGACCAGAACTCTGTTGAGAATTCAAATTATCCAGCAGAATAATAATAGAATTCTATTGACACAACAGAATTCAATCACAGTTATCATTTCAGGCATATGAAACTGTTGTACAGGAACAAACATCAATGTCGAAACTCGGGATGCTCACAATTCTGCTGGGATTTTCAAATCCTTAGCAGAATTCTGGCAGATGCAGCGTATACGCCATTACGTTGTTTAGAATAGGTTATTCGATTTCGTATGTAAGAGCCTCATCTCTTACCATTGAAGAAAGTTGGAAAGAAAACAACTCTTTCTTGTTCTTTTTATTCATTTCATTATCTTTATAGCAGGACAATATTCTACGATGAGTTTCAAAGCAAACAAAGATAGCGAATAACACCATAAAAATACGCAAACAAACAGGACCGGTTTTATGTATATACGAAAACTCATTTACCATTTTCACCACTGTTCATTGAATTAACACATAAACTCAGTATCAAATTATCCGATTACACACAATATGGAAAGAGAACATTCAAAGAAAAAAGTTACATCGACCACAACAACGGCATCCTCTGGTGTCGGTAAGCGAAGGTGATGTATCGCTGAAAATTATTTACTTCTCTGGGTCGATGCTAGCGTCGACATGTAGAACAAGAATTGTCAAAACACGTTATCTCAATTACAAACAATCATCAGTGACGTCAATGTTTTTACTCGACCTAATAAAGCCATCGATTTTCTCACCAACATTGAACAGAGCAAGGCATTCCTCATTACCGAAGTTACTCTCGATCAACAAATAATACCTCTCATTCATGATTGTTCACAACTTGATTGAGTTTACATCTTTTGCGGCAACAAATCCATAAATCATAAGTGGACAAAACAATGGGGAAAAATCAAGGGAGTACATACTAATAGTGAGCAGTTATGTGAAGCACTGCAAATGGCTGTGAAACATTGTAATCAAGGCTACATTGCGATAAGTTTCGTCCCGGCAAATGGAGAAATTTCCAGTCGAAAACTCGATCAATTGGATCCAACGTTCATGTATACACAAATATTCAAAGAAATTTTATTGAAAATGAAATACAATGCACAATCAATTAATGGCTTTACTCCCTATTGTCGACGTTATAATTACGGCTCGTCAAGAAATATTGATCGGTTCGAACGAAACTATCATGCAAATTTCGTCATTTGGTGGTATACTTCTCCTTCATTCATTTATGTTATGGGGTGTGGATGTGAGTGTAGAAGAAGAGAATAACCACACCCACACCCGCACCCACAGTCCACGCCCACGACAGAATATTTCGATTGATAGTTTCATAAGGCACTTGTTTTCTGCCCATATTACTAATGTCAACGTTATCACTTTCATGTTTTTCTTTTGATATTACTCATCATCGACAAATAAATAATTCACTATGTTTGTTAAGTTTTTCATACTTACCTGCATATTGGTGACAAATGCTGTATAGCCTCTTGTAAAATTTTCTGTAACAAACTAATTATCAAAATTCTAAGTATTACTTTTCCAAGGTAACTTGTAACATGACACTTGAGATAAAATTTTTCGAAGAAATTTTCAAGTATTATATTCGTAATGGAAATATTTATTATTCTTCCTTTACAGGTGACATAAAAGCTGTTGTTTTTTTCCTTTTACTTTCTTTTTCTTAGTTTTGTTTTAAGCAAATTTATAACTTGTGTATAGTTATGGCGAAATCTATTCTTTCGTAGGCGTAGACATTTAGTTTCATTTTTTTCCTTCCTATTAGTCATCATGTTGGATATTTCTTATATAGTTCATGCATTATACCAACTATGCATGTATTAAAGACCTGTTTTTCTCGAAAGTGAGCAACGTACGTACCACGGTTAATAAAAATACACTACTCTTTTTCATTCATCTGTTTTAGACTAATGTTATCATATTATTTGACAAGCTTTTTTCGAAAGCATATCAAAGCGAATAGAAATGGTAACAAACATGATTATTCATCTTTTAAAATGTTTTTGTGAATCTGAAATGAAATAATATTAGACACTAAACTTCTTCCCGCAAGAAAAGACTTACTTCCATTAATTTATTTGATCGTAGAATTGGAGCTTTATTTAGTATATTTATATCAAATATGAGTAGTTTTTAGGATTTTACCAAGAAAAGCGTTAAAAGATTGCAGTAAACATTATTTTTAGACTTGTAAAACTCTAAGAATCTCTTCAAAAATCCATATTAGGTAAAAATTATAAAAATAATTGAGACACACTTGAAGACTCGGAGTTTCCTATTGTGGGAAAGAGTTTACACAACTTGCATGTAGATTGTAACATGATTTCATGCGAAATATGGAATATTCTGAAGGAAACTTTAGTTGGTCAGTTCTTTTCATCAATTTTCACTTAAAGTTCTAATAGAAAAAAATATGACATTTTGTTTTACAAAGTTATAATAACCACTAAATATAATGTTTACGTTAGAATTTTATACTGATCATAGTTGCATGCGCTTCTTTTTAACAGCATGCAAAGATCAACAATAATTTTTCGTGTTTCTTCTGTAAGCCATTTTCAGGTGACGTTATTATTTTTATCTGTGGATTTATGATATTTCACTATATCGCATTTATTGACTTTTTTCTTATCATTATTTCTATAATATGTTATTTTCAATTAGTTAGGATCTATCAAGATCTATTGCTCAATGTGCGTCATGTCTGATTCAGAAGCTTAGTATTTGTCTTGACACGTAATTATGCTAAATACCATCACTATTTACAGGTCATTTTCCAATTGATGGAGGGCAAATATTTGAAGGTAAATGTGACTCATACTTTTCGAACGACTCAGTATTACTATTTCGTTCTGTTGCCTCCACGATACCTCTTGAAACAACAAAAGTACAAAGTCTGGAGTTGGAATAATAAAAGCAAGCCAACAGAAAAGGAGCTGAGATTGAACAATCATGGGATATTTTTTTTCAATGATTATTCAGCATATTTCGAATAATCATAGTTTGATTTAATGAGAAGTGTAAAAATAATATGAATTTCAATTTGACTTGTGTAAACAATCAATTGGGACGTTATAAAATTCAGCTGAATATTTACAAAATTAATATATTCGATTTATTTCACGGAATTTTTCAGGTTAAGTTACATGTTAACACCCAACAGAATTGTTTCGATACAAGAATAATATGAAATTAAATGCTTTTCAATCATGGACAATAATTATATCAATAAAGGCTGAATTTAATCAAATTCAAATAAAACAATTAATAATAATTTAATATTAACTAATAGCAATAGTTTGAATAAATATAATCTATGATGTTCTTAGTTTAGTCTTTTCATTCAGCTGGTTTTGTTCTGTTATCATTCTCATAATGGTTTCCAAATCTAGCATAATGTCAAAACGATTGAAAAACAATAGCTTTTTATCTTTATATTTCAGATATTATTACCGGCCCAAAAAAGAAAATTGACATATTTATTATCATCTTCCAGCATGGTAGGCCAAATCAATTATCCTGGTATGTATATACATACATATGTATACTATATTGCATTATTTTTAAAATAATTTCAAAAAATTCTTTCGAAAAAATCAAACTGATCATATTCTGTATGACTTATTCACTTTTATTCTAAACAAATGCTGAATTTTTTTACATGAGTATTATTTTTTGTATGAATTTAGAAATTGATACGAACGGTGTTGATAACCAGTTCCATCCCATAACTGATAGTAATGATTCACAGAATTCTCCTCTCGATTTATCAAAAACCGGTAAATTCGATCGATGCGTTCCTCGATCACCTGATGTTTTATGCGTGAAAGCTAATAATAGTTGTGATAGACAAATGCTATCAAGTCATTTATATGATGAACCAAAAGTTTTAACGGAACCAAAAACAGACTGGCATTATCGAAGTATAAAAGATTTAGCAAAAAGACATATTCCTTTCCTCTCTGGTGATGGTCCTCAGCGAACACCAATCCGAATAACAGTAGACTTTTAATCATTATGATGACAATTTATCATAGAAAAACTTATATAATTCACAGGTTCCTAACGAATATTCTCGACTGATGTATGTTAAAATATCAGTTATGACTCATGATATGCAGCCTCATGAATCTAAAGTAGTTGTACCACCAAAAACAATAGTGCGGATGGATCAACTTTCTCAGGATAATAATCTCAGCTGTTTGAATTTCGATGAATGTAATTCGACTGACTATTTTGATCCAATCACAAGACAAATCTACTTACAGATTACTCCGGCAGAGCATAGTGCTCAATTAAAAGAGTAACTGATTGAAGTTATTTTTTTTCTTGACGATTTTACTATCATTTTAATGTATTTTGTATATAGAATACGAATTCACATGTTCAATTTATATCAAAATCAATGGATAACAAAAGAAATTATCCAAGCCAAACAACTTGATTTATGCAGACTAGCATTTCAATTATGCGTCGTTGAAAATGAACGATATATACCTGTATCTCCAATATCATTTACTTCCATTATTCGAGAACGTAAGTGTCTTTGATTCTTTCTTTTATTATACTAGTCTTTCTTCTGTATAGAGAAAATGATTACTCGGCCTCGTGTGTCCCAGTCAGTACGCAATCAACAATATTCTACTGTTACATGTTCAATAGAGTCTCCAGATGATTATCTCAGTCAGGACAATAAGGGTGATGATAATGATAATGATTTTGATTTTTCATGGTCAAGCTATGAATGCAATGGTAACGATAGACAATCATCACCGCTGCATTCTTAAGTCAACTCGTTCTGGTATGCCACTGTGATGCATTTATAAAATATTTCATATTATATTTTTGAATTTGTTAAGTTTTTATTTTAAATCCCCACACCCTGGGTTAGAATTCTCCGTTGAAAATCGAGGTTCACTTTATGAAAAATGGATAAAGGCGATGAAAAATGAAAGAATGAACATTTCTTTATCAAATAACGCAAAAACTGGCATTGGGGCATGCTGGGGGGGGGGGGGGGGGGGGGGGAAGGATTATTTAATAAAAATTGCTCTATAATATATGCTTCTACTGATTAGTTTGATTGAAAAATCGAACATCAAATGCAGATACGTTTTCGATCCCTACGCAACTATCAAAACTACTGTGAGTGTTTCCTTCCTCTTTTCTTTCTATATATGAGAGAATCGCATTTTTGTTGTACAATTGGCAAAAAAAAATGAAAGTGTATTGAGCAGAATTTTAAGACGTGCATATTATTCAGCATCGTCTACTTAGTATAAGGTGAAATTTTCCCAACTATTACATGTCAGGAAGCTGAGATATCTCTGGATCTATATATGTTAAGACAGTTTCAATGGTGTCAATGTTAACAAGTTTTCCTTTTATTTCTATCACAACACTTTTTTTCTGCTCATCACGGGTATTCTAATAACTTGGAATGAATGGGTAATCAATTAAGAGACAACGAGTATTGGTTATTTGTATTTCATCAACAATATAATATCGTAATTCATGAGGCTATAGCCAAGTGTCTATTTAAGTCAGTCGATGTCAAAAAACTCGTCAAAAGCGTTTCTCTACATAAAAACAAAAAAAATGTTACTCTACATTTCGTCGTATAATGCAAAGTTTTTTAGGAAGAATTGATTAAATCACGCTGAAATTTTTATGAAAGGTACAAGTTTTTATGCTCTCTCTTATGTGCAAATTTCAGCGAGATCGGTTCAATATATCTGGAGATAAACCTAAAACAATTTTCAAAATGTTACTACAAAGTGAGTGAAAAATCGATTTTTGAAAAAGTTTGCTTACTTTTCTCGAAAATAATATCGAGAAAACTTAAAATTTTTTTGACCATTTGGTTACTTGAAAAGAGCTCTTTCCTTTGAAGGAGTTCCTGGATTCCTAGCTGCGTCCCTTCGTCGGCTAGGAAAGGTTTTGTGTTACTCTACATAAAAGAGAAAAAGTGTTTGTAAAAGTGTTTTGGTCTTGGACGAGCAAGAAACAAATAACAATTATATCAACGAATCATGTATTTGAATAGCTCGTCAAACGCTGAATAAAACAAGGGTATTACTGTTTTTGCTTTTTGCTTTTCTTCTTTAGGAAATCTATTTTTTGTACGGTGACTCTTTGAAAAACCTATATTTTTAATATTATTTTGCGTCTATATCTCGACGAGTTATTGAGCAATCGGACCGATATTTTCTGTGGTAGTGCGACACATATGAGTGAACAAAACAAACAAAAAACTTCGGGAATCAGACAGCAGGAAATGAAGTTATAGGAAAAATACTTCAAAAATATAATTGTATCACAAAAATGCAATTCTCATATATATAGATGATATATATGCTGATATTTATGCGCCATCTTTATTATACATGGAAAGGAAAAAGAAACATAACATATATAACATGTATGTAAGAACGAAAATGAATGAAATCAATTAGAGATACAAGTTGATGAAAGAGAATAGAGGATAACAAGAAGATAGTGAATATGCTAACGTGCGACATCACCGTAACATACTCCCCTTTTGAACAAAAAACTGTGTCCTGTCAACATTTTTATGACAATGTAACAAATATAACAAATTATATAATAACGAGGAAAAACGAAAGAAAACAACAAAAATAGCGATTAAGTTAAATATATGAACATAAATATTAATAACAACAGAACGTCAAATATACTAAGACAATACAAACAGAGAAAAAAGTTTATATAGCTTGAGGGTGTAGGATGTGGGGTGTGGAAGGGTGTGGGTGTAGATAAAGTGAAAAAGTATACCCACAACCATCCTCCACACCCACACCGACGCCCCACAACCACATCCACATCCTTTTTTTACAATAATCAGCATAAATATACCGGTCGTCGTATGTTCGATCGAGTACTACTTAATGGCCTTGATATTAATTTAAGTGAAGGTAATTGTATCATTCATAGCCAGTCTCTCATTTATAATCAACTATGTGCTCCTGTTTTTCGAAAAATGTTACAATATGCTTGGCACGTAAGTGGATATATAGACAATCATCCAGGTTCTTTTCTATCTGTCAAACAGGTGTGCTTTATATTTCATAATGTTTCAGGCAGTGGTGGCTGTTGTGAATCGTCTTCCTTTATTTTGTGCAGTTTGCTGTAGAAGCAACTTCTGTTTCCAACATTTCTTTTCTGATTATCATTTTCATCATAGTCTATATAGTTTAGCTTAAAATAATTGTTTTGGGACATATAGATTAACCCTTTTTTTTCTTTCGGTAAGTAATGCTACCGGTACACGTTGTTCACATTAGGACAGAAATGCAAATAAACATACTATTGTGAAAGACTACAATTATCTTACAATTATGGGAAATACTATATATAATGACTTATAGAACGACATTAATATTGTCTAAAATTGATAACTGAATCTTCTCAAGGTTGTTTGAGCTCAAACTTGCACATTATGTCCCACATGAGTACAACTATATATGAGAAAAATCTCAATTCGTTTCAACGAGTATTGTTTGACATAATACTTTTTTGCTGATAAGATAACTCATATAGTTGTAATAATAGAAATGCTCTACCACCTCAGAAATAAGCCAGAGAACCGAAATTCTTTTTACCATAGATACAGTTCACTATGGGCTACAAGATGCGCGAAACTCCGGCTGAAAAGCGCTCCAGCACCTTGGAATGTTCCCTTGTTAGTGTTGTCTGAGTGTAGCAATTTTGCCCATGATACTGTTGGTTATAAGGATATGAAGGACGTCGAGGCAAAATACCGTGCATGTAGAACATCGAGAAAATAATAAAATCGTAAACACCATGTGAGAAAATAACTGGATGTGGATGTAACTGCTTTTGTTCGTTACTTGAAGACAATACTTGTATCCACACCTACCTGTTTGTATCAAAATGTACCAAACGATTTGAATTATATTGGTCTTTACATTGTTTTAGACTCGTTGCGCAGGAAGCTACTCAAAAACGACAAATAACGAAAAAAGACATTGACTTCAATTAGGCAGCAGCAGGCTTATACGATAGTCATATAATAGTGTATGAGAGACATTCGTATGTTTTCGACAAACTCTTATAGCCAAAGGCTGATGATAGACTCTTTTTCTGAATATTGCCATTTAAGATATGTGATCCAGATATGAGTTTTCACTATCGATCTATAAAGAAAAAACGTTGAAAAGAATTCACTATTTCCTTTCTTTTGATCTAGCCTGTATTTGAATTTTTTTATCCTAATTTTATTTATGGGCCAGCCTGTACTACTTCAAAGTAAATTCTGAAAAGTTTTTACGAACAGCACCACGTAAATGCCTTTGCTATTCATTGGTGCATTCTCCATTACTGCATTCCAAGAAATTCCGTACTAATTTTTATAAATTATGTTGTGAAAAATAATTATAAAACATTTGTAACATTTTTGCTACTATGAGACTCAAACTGTTAAAGTGTGTTGGCCATAAATTAGACTCCAGGCTATAATATCATTTTGTAGAACTTTAAAAAGCCTATCGAACGATATTTAATTCAAATTGGATCGCTACCTTTCACAACTCAATAGTGAAGGAATTTTGTCATGGGTACTCTTCATATTGTACGTTTAAACGAATAATGTTATCTAACAAGAGAATCTCGCCAGGTGATAAATTGCTTTTTATATGAGTCTTATCACACTAGATAGGGCCTATTGAGACTGAAAAAAGCCTAAAATGATTCATGCCCGTGAGTCTTTCTTCTTGAATTATGCGCATTTTACTGGTTTTTTTGAACCCAATACTGCGGTTCTGCTCAGGTCACCTTCAAAATCGACTTTCAAGTTTCGAGTTCAAACTTTCCACAAATGAAGTTCTCAGTGAAGCTAATACATTATGAAGATTTCAGATATTCTAGTATCTCCTATCCTGAGAAACGAATATTCAAAATTATGTTATGCGAAAAAGTAAACTTTGTTCTTATATTCATATCTCAAGATAAGAGATAGTAGAAGATCAGAAATGTTCACAATGTGTTAGTCCGACTGAAAACTTTATTTGTGCAAAGTTTTAACTCGAAACTTGAAAGTCAATCTTGAAGATGACCTCAGTAGAACCACGGCATTTTTGAAAAACTGAATAAAATGGGCATAACTCAAGAAGAAAGACCGTTGGAACGAATCATTTTAGGTTTTTTCTAGTCTCAATAGGCCCTGTCTAATGAGATAAGACATTCGAAAAGCGATTTATCATCTGGCAAGGTTCCCTGGTAAGAGAAAAAGAGAAATAGCAATTTTTTGTCATACTCGTATATACTATTGGATAGAGGAAAGAAAGAGCTGCTATTTAATATAATAGTCAAAATAAAGGAGCTGAAGAAGAGAAAAAAACTTTTCAGGTAAACACAGCATTGCATGACACTGTGAGAGATCGATAATATCGAGTTTTGAGTTAGGCGAGCACAACAGAATTAAGTCTAACGATCTAATTTGAATGGCAACCGACATTTCACATTTGGATTGGCTATTGGAGAAATAAGAAACTCAACTTCTAGGGGGGATTCAATTTCATCACCTGATGACCCCTTTCATTTCATTTTCTTTTTCTACGCTTCTGTCTCTATTTATACACAGAAAAAATATGATAAGATATCTTTCATTTTATTCTCGTATAAAATGTTGAAAACATTTCAAGATATAAAAGAAGAATTTTATCAAAAAGTCGTAAGAGTTTTTAATTTGAAATCGGTCGATTTGTGTCTTAGATATTTACAAAAATAATGTCTGGACGTAAAGAATGGCCAGAATTGGTCGGACAAACATTCCAAGCAGCCTGTCAAAAAATTTCAGAATTTGATAGTAGTAAGTTTAATCATTCAATTTAAATCTGTATTCACTAAAATCTATCTTTCGTTTCTGTCATAGGTTTAACTCCATATAATGCGAGGAATGGGCAACAAGACCGAATGTATGATCCAACTCGTGTTGTGTGTGTCACAAACGACAACGATATTATAACTGAAGTTCCATATTATAATTATGAGTAGAACACATCAATGATGATATGAGCCTGATTAATATTTTAAACTAGGTTTTCCGGTTACTTAGAACAGACACACATTTTTTTTTCTTTATTGCATTAGCTCATGTAAACATGAGCAACCTATTTTTATTCGTCTTCTCTATTTATTTTTATTTAACTATTCATTAAAAGAAAGAATTACTTTCATTAGTGTTCGAAGAAATCATGAAGCGTGGGTGTGGGTGTTGGTGTTGGTGAGAATAAAGACAAGACAAATACCCACGCCCACACCCACGATACTTGCCTTTGTTTTTTTACTAGCCTTTCTGATGACCAGTTGGGTCTTGTCAGTACATAAAACGAAAAGAGGTGAAAGGAAAAAAGAAGTATATACAACCATATATACATAAATAAGAAGAACAAAGAAATAATGAAACGACAGTTAGTGTGTCCTAGAGCGAATAATACACTAAAAACATTGTAGAGCAAGTAAACATAAATAAATGAGAACATTACCAATCCATATGAGAAGGATTCCGTGAAACATTGTTTCATATTCACGTTTCGGAACTAAGTGTAGGTGTGTGTGGATGTGGTCTTTTCTAACAACCCCATCCAAACCCATCCACCCTAGATCAACATATGATTCCAGGTTATTACTTTCTGGTTATGTTGTATCATCAGCTGATCGTTTATCGAATTCTGTTACAACCATATCAAAAGAAGTTGAACGATTTGGTGAAATATTTTCATCAGAAAATGATGATACTGTTGGAATATTTATTAATTTAAGGAATTTTCTCATTTAAATTCTTTAATTTGATTTTGATCTTTTTATAAAAAGAGGAGATTCAAAAAATGAGTAAAAAATTTCAAGATTTTGGAGGATTAAATATTTTCATTGTCTTCCAAGAATTTTTGAATGATATTAAAAAATGATCGTTCACCAATAACAATGGAAAAACATGAAATTTTTATATGGAGAATTTTATCTAGATATCTGATAATAAATAAGCATAAATCAAGATATGAAAAACAAATCCCAACGATAATTATTTGCAACAACATCAGTTTAATCTGAACATAAATTATTAAGAACAATATTTAAATATGAATCAAATTTTATTGCATTTCCTGCTCGATTAAATAAAACTGTACACGATAAAATGAAATTAAAATTAATATATGGAAATATTATTGATCCAAAGCAGAGATGTCCATCGCGGCTGACAATCTGCCGCTGCCGCGCCGCGGCCTTAGAAAAAAAAAGCTGCCGCACCGCTGCCGCGCCGCGGCGGTTTATAAAAAAATGTTGCCGCGACGCTGCCGCACCGCGATGACTTATAAAAGAAACGCTGCCGCGCCGCTGCCGCGATGAATTATAAAATAAACGTGCCGCCACCGCGCCGCTGCCGCGACGATTTTCAAAAAAGTGTTTCTAATTTCACTGCTGTGACTATATTTGACCAGAGATATGGGTACTAGTCCATCAGATTTATTCAATATCAGGGCGTTTCATTTGTAAATCGTGAAATTCTATTAAATTCATACAGTTTTTCAATGTCCTCCAAAAAAATCCTGCCGCTGCCGCGATGGTTTTTTAAAAAACCTGCCGCTACCGCGCCGCTGCCGCGATGACTTTTAAAAAAATCTGCCGCTACCGCGCCGCTGCCGCGGTGATTTTTTTTAAAAACCTGCCGCTGCCGCGCCGCCACCGCCACCGCGGCAGCGGCAGCGGCAGCGGCGGCGGCGCGGCAGCGCCGCGATGGACATCTCTGATCCAAAGTCAGGTTGGATTTTGTTTCAAAAAAAGATCTCTTAGATATTTATATTTATTTTATTTTATAGGATTCAAAGATACTCTTGGCGTGCTATTCATACATCTAATGTGTATTTATGTCACGTGGATTTTTCGAAGCAAAAGAAAAACAGAAAAACAAATTTCTATAACAGAACAAATGAAGAAAGAGAAATACCCAAAATAAATAAACGTTTTAAGGGGACGAACACATAAATGCGAGACATTAAATCAGTTATTATTATCCGTTTATGATTTAAAAACTCAATTAAAAATATATGTCAACAGATGAGAAAGATAAAGATTTATATTCCAAAGTAATTAAATACATAACTATTTAACATAAAAATTTCTATCGTTAAAGTAACCGATTTGTTATTGGAGAGCAAAACAAAATGCATGAGCAACTTAATCAAGGGCTGAAATCACCGCTTGAAAAGCTCGACATCAGTGATTATGCAAAAGCTATTGAATTGATATCATCTGCCAAATTTATTTCTCATGAAATTATGGATACCATCAATGAGATGGGAAAGAAACTAGAAAGTGATTACTAACAAACATAATCATAAAAATCAAAAAATGAATTTTCCATCAGTTTTTTTTGTTAATTTTAAATTAAAACGAGATTAGAAAAATAAACAGAAAGAACTAAGAATAGTTTACTTCATAATATGCTTAATGCTTATCTTCTTCAGCTGAATTAGATGTAACGGTTGATGATGTTGTTTCTTTTTATAATTGAAAATTGTAAAGTAAAACAAACATTATCTTTATTATTTAATAATAAAACAAATAATGTCATTATTTGAACATCAAAAAGAAATTTAACATAAAGATGTGGTAGAACTGATCAAACAAGATCTAGTTACTCTTTTTATTGATGTTTAAAAGCAGATTATGAATATTCCATAGTTGGTGTTGTTAAAATCAAATTTTATTTGTCATAATCAGCGGTTTCGATTTATATTTTTTAATGAAATATTCATTTTGAATTTATTTAGAAGTATGTTAAATATAAATATTGAAATAGCATCGAAAATTATTATATTTCGACCAGGTATAGAAGCATTAATTATATGATGTATACAAGAACCAAACAATATTATTAATCGTCTCAAATCAGCTGAACAATATTATGTAATTTAATTTGTCTCCTATCTGATCAACAACTTGAACATTTTTTTAATTATTTTCATAAAATGAAATAGAAATGAGCTATTCTTTTAGTGAACTTTCATGTCAATTAGCAAAATAATGATACATATCAATAACAATATCGATCATCGAATAAGTAAGAAAGAAATTCAATAAAATAAGATTGATTATTTTTTTGTCTTTTAGCGTAAATGATAATACTGATTTTAGTACCTCATCTTTTCAATCAGGAACATCAGGTTCTATTTCTTCAAATTTTTTCGCCATCATTTACTAACAAAAGACAATTTAATAATGCATTTTATTTATCAACACCAGCTACTTTTGATACTGCACCACTAACATCGTCTTATCAATCGGGATGGATTAACAATACTGATGGCTGTTCCATTTTTCTTATCGTTTTCTTTGTTTCGATGTTTTGAGTTGTTTTGTAATTTGTGTTAAAAACAGTTTTTTGACAAACAATTAATACTATGAATAAAAAAAACCATCTAATTGAATTTATAGCAGTGAACATCATTATCACAGAACAATGAATATCTGTGATGCTTGGCGACTTTCTTATATTCGGTAGACTATGAGCTTTCAGTAAAGTTTTATTTCAATGAAAGGTTAAGTTTTTATTTGAAAATAGAATTTTATTCATAATAGTTTTCTAATGATAATGAATTCCATTTGAAATATTATTTCAATAAATCATGAAGTTCATTTTAATTGGACATTCTTATATTATTCTCATTTATATGTTGTATGCAAGACTGAACTTCTGATTCTAATTCACTTTGAAAACAGTGTTCTTGCTAATTCGTATGTTAAACATATCATACAACATTGTGAATGATGGTGAGAACCGTATTTACAGTAAATAAACACTAGAATTTCAATTCTGTGTAAGAAAATTTTAGTCAAAATTAATATTTGAACTTTGTCTAAACAAAGTCGCAATTTGTCTATATTGTAATTTTATTGACAAGATATATACATGGATAGTTCCAAATAAATATGAATGGTTTCATAGTTAATATTATGAATCTACTGGATGAAATAATTCTTGTTATTTGGAATAAATGAATAAAATTGATGCACTTTATTCATTCTTAAATGTTAATAGAAGATTCGATACACTAATACGTGATAAGGTTTATACTCGTTCTATTGAATTGATAAAAACAAATTGTGAAGAACACAATTGGGTGTGGGTATCCTAGAAGAGAAAGTCAACATCAACATCCACAGGTACAACGATCCACATCCACACCCTAATAGGAAAACGAGCTGATTGGTTAATATGCAACAAAACAAATGGCGATTGAATCATAGCTCAGAAATTGAATATACCAAGAATGATAATTAACATTCCAATATAGATTAAACTAGTTTTGCCAACATTTGACGTTCCTTTTTAATATCTTTCAAGAAAATACTTGTATTCGATTTACTAGCTAAGTCACAGAACACATTAAAAGGCATTTTTGGACCCAAATAAATCACTTCTGCTACAGAACCATTCTTTGAAAAAAGCCAATAATAAAAATCATTAGTAAAATTTATTTATTTGAATTAACAAAAAACAATAACTACAACTGTATTGATATACTTGATCTACTAAAAAAAATAAATATATAAATGCATTTATTTCCACTATCCTAATCATCGAATCACTCAATATCATTTATCGCACCAAAGCAGCAATACCTTTTATTGCTAATCTATTTTCAATAGAAGAAAACTTTCTTGAACGATAAATTATAACTATAATGAAGCAATAGACTAAAACTTCTTCACAAACTCATAATGATGTAAGAACTAATTGTTTCTTGATTATTCAAACAGTATGAACGAAGAAATTGCACATGAAAAATTAGAATGAAGCAAATATTAAGATAAAATTTGTAATCAAGTAGATCATCTTTCTCTTTGAATTATTTCAACATCTTGTAGATTATTTGTATAAAATTTTAATTAAGCAAGACATTATCGAACAAAAAACAACATAATTATTATGTAAATGAGTTCTATTAACCTGTACATTCAGATAAATTATCTAACGAGACACCTAACCTGACTGTATCTTTTCGTACAAACTCATATTGTGCCTACCAACAAGTCTTGCTAAGAATAGCAAAAGTCTACGATGGTTCGTCATTATGGTTAATAGGAAGTGTAATATAAAACAAATTTACTCGAAAATTCATTATCTCAACAAATAAACAATATTTTTCATTAGAACTTTCAAAATACTCTAAGAACCATTAGATCTATCTACAAGTAAACTTTCAGGTCGAAATTTTGTTCTTTCATTTTCCAGTGAATACCTAAAAATTTGAATTTTTATATGCATAATATAGGTTTAACCTTCATTAACAATAAAAATCACATTTATTGAAAAACAAAAGCCTTTTTTTTTATTTCAATCAATTATAAACAAAATAAAATACTAATTTGTTACTGTTTATAATCTATACGTGTTGTGAAGACTCAAAGTATTTTTCTATTTGAAAACTTTCAATAAAATTTATTTTACTAAAAAACAAAATTAAGACAACAAGAGAAAATAAATATGTTCTTATATCAAACAGTGTCTGTTTTTTATTACAAACAAATACGCTAATGACTAAATTATTGCATCAAAAGAATAATAAATTTTTTTCTGTTCTTAGTTAAAATAAATGTAACTTTATCATATGAAATTTTCTTTCAGACTATTTATTTACAAGGTTAAAATTACATGTAACTAGTATCAAAAAATAAACGGTCGTTTGCTTTTTTTTTTGCTTGACGAATACTTTTTTTTCTGCTATGATAAGAATTTACACTGCACTTTTTGTGATCATAATATTGTTATAGAGT